CCGTGTTGACCAGGATGGTCTCGATCTCTTGACCTTGTGATCCACCCGCCTCGGCCTCCCAAAGTGCTGGGATTACAGGCGTGAGCCACCGCGCCCGGCCACTCTTCTTCTTTTTAAGACCTAACTGGCAAGGCAGCATAGATAATGGTTAAGGAATGTGCCTGTTGCATTCGATTACCTGGATTCAAATCACAATACCTACACTAAAAAGTTGTGAGACTGTGAATCATGGATTTGACCTCTATCTGCCTCATTTTTTACATCTGTAAATAGGGATAATACCAGTACCAACCCCACAGGGTTTTTTTTAAGACTTAAATGAGATGGTGAGTGTAAAAGCACTTGGTGTATAACTAAGCATAAAATAAGTGCTCAGTACATATTAGTTTTTATTAGGGAACAGTAGTACATATGATAACATTCTCCAACAGAAGCCTGTGAAGAAGCAGAGGCCCAGCTGACATTTGTTTAGAAGGAAGTGAAACACTGGCCCATAGACCCCTTTGGACCTTTTGAGTCGTTCCCCCAGAGTTGAGGAAGAGGAGATGAAGTTAAAGATTATTAGTGACTAAATGCAAGGTATAAATGCTATCAGGAAAGTAATTTCTGTGTATTTCATACCATTGATGATGGACTAAGTACTAAAGAGGTTATTCTAAATGTGGGCATTGATTATCATTACTAAATAGGTAGCAAAAGCTCAGACTCACTCTGCAAGAAAAAGGATTTATAAAGATTGCCTTGGCTTCTTTATAATCAAACCTTGCTTATAAGAGTTTTTGGTAGGTCTTTCTCACACAGGTAATCTTCATAGTCATTAATGTTTCATTGTGGTTTGAAGCCTGGTATATGAACATCTGGAGTCAGAAAACAGATACATGTGGATGTGATTAACTAAAGTTTATTTTAAAAAGGATTTACAAAAGGATTTCTTCAAATCTGTTATTTTTAACCTTTTTGGCATTTGGATTCTATTAGGAATCAAAAGAGTGCTGTTGAACTAACAATACCTAAAGTTTACTAAACTCTTACCATTCTAAATCCTTTATACCTATTAGTATACTTATTTTCAAGACAAGCCTTCAGATTTCTTTGTATTATTATCCTCATTTTACAGGTGAGGAAAGCTGAAGCATACAGGTTATGTAACCAGAGGAGGATTATCCAGGTAGCAAGTGACTGAGCTGTGACTTAAACCAAGCAGGGTTGCTCTAGAGCCAAATGAGTCTTAACCATTTCCCCCAGAAAACTGTGCCTCTTATATGCTCATGTAATTGCCCAGTTTCCCATACAGTTTTGAGGCACATGGATTCCATTAAAACCAACTGTAAACTCCATGATAACCTGCTACCAATAGTGAGTACATCTAGCACATTTAGAATATCTTAATTATGAAAATATAACTTAGAAACAATCTTTTAGAAAAAAATTAGTAATAAAAGGGTGCTAAAGTTTTGAAATACAAAACTCTATATAGAGGCTTGGTGCAGTGGCTCACGCCTTTAATTCCAGGACTTTGGGAGGCTAAGTTGGGCAGATCACTTGAGGTCAGGAGTTTGAGACCACCCTGGCCAACACAGTGAAACCTCATCTGTACTAAAAATACAAAAAAAAAAAAAACAAAAAAAAACATTAGCAGGGTGTGGTGGTGCACACCCGTAGTCCCAGCTACTTGGGTGGCTGAGGCAGGAGAATTGCCTTAACCCAGGAGACAGAGGTTGCACTGAGCTGAGATTGTGCCACTGCACTCCAGCTTGGGTGACAGAGCGAGACTCCATGTCAAAAAAAGAAAAGAAAAGGAAACTCTGTATAGAATCTCCACACTACCTGCCCTTTGTTAGAAAGCCATAAGCAGCCCTGTAACTGCTTGTAGCAAAAATCAGTGGTAGAGATTAGCACCCATCCCTTGAGACGGGCTTTTATGCCACTTCAACTATGTAGTTCCAGTGGAAGCTGCCATGTTTTTGCATAATTCTGCCAACTGTTGATACTTGACTGATCTTGATTTGTTTCCTTCTTTCCTTCCTTCCTTCCTTCTTTTTTCTTTCCTTCTTTCATTCCTTCGTCCTTTGTTTTCCTTTCCTTTCTTTTGTTTTCCTTTCCTTTCCTTTCTCCTTCCTTTCCTTTTTCCTTTCTTTTCCTTTCCTTTCTTTTGACAGGTCTTACTCTGTCACCTAGGCTGGAGTGACTCTTGATCATAGCTCACTGCAGCTGCAACCTCCCAGGCTCAAGCAGTCCCTTGGCCTCAGCCTCCCTAGTAGCTGGTACCATAGGGGTGCCCTACCATACCCTGCTAATTTTGTATTTTTCAGTAGAGATGGGTTTCACCATGTTGTCCAGGCTGGTCATGAACTTTTGGGCTCGAGCAATCCACCCACCTCAGCTTCCCAAAGCTCTGGGATTACAGCTATGAGGCATAGCACCAGGCCTGATCTTGATATTTGATATATGAAAGAGGAGTCAATCGGAGTCCTTCTTGAATTTTTCAAACTAGAATTGCTAAGATTTTTTTCCCTCTTCCATAGTAGTAGCTATGAATTATGAAACTTGAATACTGTCAGTGCCACATAGAAGAAACTGTTCTACAGAGTTTGTTAGCATGTTTATGTGTATGTGCATGTAACAGGAAGAATATAAAAGAGTAAAAATGAGGGATAAGGAAAAAAATGGGGGAGAGAGAAAGTGAATTGTGACTACTGCCTAGACCTTGGTTTAGTTGTTTCTGCATACCTATGAAACTCCTAGCACTGTGGTTATTCACACTTATTCCAAATATATGACATATTTCAAATACTTTGCCCTGTTTGCCTAAAGGTACTTAAGTTGGGCTTCTGGCATTTGCATCAGAAAATTCCTAACACACACTTTTAAACTCATCACACTGAAATTACTTACATAATTTCAATTATGAAATTATGTATTATACTATATAATTACTGTTTTATTATCTTATTGTGATAGGCAGAATTTTAAGATGGTCCCCAAGAGACCCAGCAGAGTAGCACTATGCTTATAATCCCAGCTACTCAGAAGGCTGAGGCAGGAGGATCGCTTGACCCCAGGGGTTTGAGATCAGGCTCAGCAACATAGCAAGACACCCAGCTCAAAAAATAAAAAGAAAAAAGCCACACCGCACATATAAGATAGATCCTGGCCTGGCGTGGTGGCTTTTGGGAGGCTGTGGGGGGTGGATCACGAGGTCAAGAGATCGAGACCATCCTGGTCAACATGGTGAAAACCCCATCTCTACTAAAAATACAAAAAATTAGCTGGGCATGGTGGCGCGTCCCTGTAATCCCAGCTACTCAGGAGGCTGAGGCAGGAGAATTGCCTGGACCCAGGAAGCGGAGGTTGCGGTGAGTCGAGATCGCGCCATTGCACTCCAGCCTGGGTAACAAGAGCGAAACTCTATCTCAAAAAAAAAAAAGATAGATCCCAAAATTCCTGCCCATTGACACACACATTTGGTATAATCTCCTCCACTTGAATATGGGTGCAACTTGTGAATATGATGGGATTTCACTCCCATGATTACATTACTTTTTATGGCAAAGATTCAAAGGCAGAGAATTGCTCACCTGCTTGCTTTGCAGAAGATGAAGGCCACCATGAGTTCTATTGCTGCATGGGACTAAATTTTGCCAACAGCCTGAGTGAGTATGGAACACCCGGAGTTTGGATGAGATCATAGCCTGAGTGGAACCCTTGATGGCAGCCTTGTCAGAACTATGCAGAGGGCCCAACCATGTGTTACCTGAACTGCTGAGCTACAGAAATATGGGATAATAAATGGGTATTACAGCTAGTGCTCGACTTATGACCACGATTGTTTCCGACAGACCGGTCGTAACACGATTTGGTCGTAAGTTGAGTAGGCTATATGTACAGTAGTGTGAAATGATGTTATAAAAATCTTTAAGTCATATTTTATCATAATTTTCTTTCATTATTGTTATATATCATAATTTTCTTTGTTCATTTTATGCCATTTTTATCATCTCTACACCACTTTGTTTCCTATTTTTACATTTATCAGGTTTAAGTAAAACACTGCATTACCAGTACAACTGGTTTAATATTTGCAAAACATACAAAATTACAAAATACAGGTGCATACAAAAATACAAAATACAGGTGTAAAAAACACCATAGGAAACATTTTCCCAATTGCAAAACATATCAAAATATATAAACATGTACGAAACATTTTATTGGCCGCTGGTGCTTGGCTGCGGATCGTTGATGTCGTCATCTGAGGCAGCAGTTAGGCTTACCAGAGTTGGTTTTTTCATAAACATGGTGAGCTTTGTCTGAATTGTATGTTTCTTTTTTTCTTCATAGATTTCATGATACGGAAGAAACACGTCATGCGCCATCCGTTCAATCCTTGCAAATTGTTTGATGTTTGGGTCCGTTGCTTTGAAATGTATAAGGAGTTTATTGGGAGGGGTTTGATGAAAAATATCCAAGACACAAAACACAAATTGCTGTGCCGAGTCTGGGATAACAGTTGAAATGGTGCACGCAGAGATGGTAGTGCTGCCGGAAGCTGGCCTGCACTGTCGTTCGCCCAGCTGGGCAACGTTTGCGCTGCCAGACGTGGAGCAGTTGTGGCTAGCGATTGTGGTTGTAAAGTCAAATAGTCGTAAGTTGCATAGGTCGTAAGTCGATCAATACCTGTATTCTAAGCCACTAAGTTTGAGGTAATATGCTATGCAGCAAATATTATATATTCAGGGACAAAAAATAGGACAAGTTTTGTCAAAGAAAATGCATGTTCTTCCATGAACATTAAAAGACCAAAAAAAAAGATACTTCAGCTCCCAAGGTGTAAGTGTTAGGGGCTGAACTGTGTCCTCCCAAAATTCATATATTGAAGTTGAGTGCCTCAGAATGTGACTGTATTTGGAGATAGGGCTTTTAAAAAGGCGAGTAAGTTAACATGAGACTGCTAGGGTGGTCTCTAATACACTAAGCCTCTAACATTGTCTGATTTTAGCTTGTGTGTGATAAATTTCCTTCAGTGACATGTTATCATCTCTTGACATTGCCTCTTGCAAGCATCACGCTGCTATGGTTTGGATGCTTGGTCTAATACTTCTGAACACATCTATTACATTCATTTCTTAGTTTTTCTGTTTTGCTTTGTTTTCAATCTTAAAATATTATGTTTCATTTATATTAAAAATATTATTGAGCTGACGTGAGTATGAATAAATGCCTTGGTGTATGTATTAGCTGAGGCGGCAATAACAGAGTGGCACAGATGGATGACTTAAATAACAGAAATTTATTTTCTTATAGTTCTGGAAACTAGAAGTCCATGATCAAGGTTTTGGCAGGATTGGTTTTCTCTGAGGCCTCTGGGCTTGCAGATGGGCACCTTCTCTGTGTCCTCAGATGATCTTTCTTCTGTATGTGAGCATCCCTAGAGTCTGTGTGTCTCAGTTTCCTCTTCTTGTAAGGAAATCAGTCACACGCTAGCCATCTCATTTTAACTTAAATCACCTTTTCAAATGCCCTGTATCCAAATATAGTCACATTGTAAGGTAGGGAAATTAGGGCTTCAACATATGTATTGGGGGGAGTACAGTTTAGCCCATAACAGCATAACTTTTTGGGGATGGGGAGCATATTGTAATGCTAAGTTTCCATTCTTTCCAGAGCATGCTGTAGAAACTCTTTCTAAAGATTGCTTAAGAAATATTATGTTTTAATTTTATACATTGGACTCCAGAGTTCCCAATGATTATTTATGACTCTAAATTTTTAATATACCAAAATGAAAAGGTATTAGAATCTCTTCACATGCCAACCAGTTGGAGAGAAAGAGCGAGTCAAGTACAGACCCCTTTTCCTAAAGTTTCGTTATTTCTTTTAAAGATAGCCTGAGCTAAATTTATTTCCCTCCCTCCCTCCCTCTCTCTCTTTCTTTCTTTCTTTTTTTGCCAGCCTTCTGATTTTAAAAGAAAACAGTAATACAACAGTAGATGTGGCAACAAAATGAAACAATAGAGTTGCTACATCAACCAAATAAGATATATGATTTAGAATTTTTTTCAAATGTTTTTTAACTTTCTGTAACTGTATGTTTAGACAAATACATATTCACAAATCCACTCAAGACATTATCTGCAGTTATAAAATACATGTTCCTTTCCAGCCCTGCCCTCATTAGATATGACCTCCCCAGGGATAAGCCATGATGAGAGCAATTTGGGATCTGTAAGATGATGCCATCCATGGTACTTATTTGTTTTGGTAAAGTTTTATTTCATTCCATGGTAACACACTGCAGTATATCCAATCCATATGCAGTGTCTGCAAATGTATACAGGTTTTTAGTTACAAAGGGGACTAGAATTTTAGGGTGTATTTATCAAACTGTGTTTCTCTACAGGAAAGTAATGATGATTTACAGATATTTTCTGTGGGTTGCCTTTTCATTCTCTTGACAGTATCTTTCACAGAGCAAAATCTTTACATTTGATCAAGTCAAATTCACCAACTGTTTTCTTTTATGTATTGTGTTTTTGATGCTGTATTTAAGAACACTTTTCTTAACTGAAGATCACAAAGATTTTCTGTGCTTTCTTTTAATGTTTTATCATTTTATATTTTGCATTTAGGTCTGTGATCAATTTTTGAGTTAATTTTTATATGAGGTAAAATATATGGGTCATGGTTCTATGTCAATGTCCAATTGTTCCAGTACTATTTTTTGAAAAGATTGTCCTTTCTCCACTGAATTGCCTTTGTACCTTTGACAATAATTTACTGACCATATTTGCGTGGGTATATTTCTGGATTCTTTATTCTGTTCCATTGATCTGGTCGCCTATGTTTTTACCAATACCTCACTCTCTTAATTACTATAGCTTTATAGTAAGTCTTGAAATCATGTTGTTTGAGTCCTTCAGCTTTTCTTTCTTTTCAAAACAAAACCAAATTTTTAAAATGGGCAAAAGATTTGAACAGACACTTCACCAAATAATATACAGTTGATCGTTGAACAACATGGGTTTGAAATGCACAAGTCCACTTATGTGCAGGTTTTTTTCAACCAAAGATTAAGTGAGGCCAGACATGGTGGCTCACACCTGTAATCCCAGTGCTTTAGGAGGCTGAGGTAGGTGGGTCAACTTGAGGTCAGGAGTTTGACACCAATCTGGCCAATATGGTGAAACTCTGTCTCTATTAAAAATACAAACATTAGCCCGGCATGGTGGCAGGCACCTATAATTCCAGCTACTCCAGAGGCTGAGGCATGAGAAGAGCTTGAACCCAAGAGGTGGAGTTTGCAGTGAGCTGAGATCGCACCACTGCACTCCAGTCTGGGCAACAGAATGAGACTTCTCAAAAATAAATAAATAAATAAAACAAAGGTGAAGTGAAATACAGTATTTGCAGATGCATAATTCAAGTATATAGAGGGCTGCTTTCACAAAGTAGGTTTTGCAGTGCCAAGTGAGTGACTTGAATATGTGCAGATTCTGATAAAAGTGGGTATCCTGGAATCAATCTCTGGAGAATACAGAAGAATGACTGCACATGGACGGCAGGTAAACACATGCAAAGATTCTTACCAGTATTAGTCATTAGGGAAATGTAAATTAAAAGCCCACAAGATACCACTACACACCTATATGAATGGCAAAACAAACAAACTCCAGTACCTCCATAACACCACCAAGTGCTGGTGAGAGAAAAGCAACTGGAACTGTCATTCGTTACTGGTGGAAATGTAAAATGGTGCCGCCACTTCAGAAAAGTTCAGCCGTTATTAAGCTGAATATGCACTTACCATGGGTTTGGCAATTTCACTCCTAGGTATTTGGCCAAGTGAACTGAAAATTTGTGTTCATACAATAAAACCAGTGTGTGAATGTTTATAGCAACTTTATTCATAATTGCTCAAATCCGGAAAACGCCAAATGTCCCTCAACTGAGATTTGGATAAACAAACAGTGAATGAAAAAAACAACAACAACCACTAATACATACAATAACAGACAAATCTCAAATACATTATGGTAAGTGAAAGAAGTCAGGCTTAAAAGGCTATATACTGTATGATTCCATTTATATAACACTTTGAAAAGGCAAAACTATAGTGACAAAGAGCAGGTCACTGGTTATCAGGGGTTGTGTGGGGATAGGGTTGACTATGAAGGGATAGTATGAAGGAATTTTGCGGGTGGGGAAGTTGGAACTATTCTGCATTTTGATCGTGGTGATAGTTATGCAGCTATGCGTTGGTCAAAATTTATAGAACACTGTACACCAAAAACAGTGAATTTTACTGTATGTAAATTAGAAAATAAAGTAAATGTGTAAGTATAAAGTATTCTATTGCTGGAGAGGAAGAGGGAGAGGTAACTGCGAGATGGGAGATAAGTCTGGATAAATTGCTTGTAGATTTGTAAAAGTCTCTGAAGCCAAGGTTGAGAAACCAGACATACTTCTAAGAATTTGAAGATCAGAATGTCAAAATGAAAATGATGGTTAGGTGACTTCACTGTTGACAATGTGTACCACAGAGTCCTAGGGTAGGAGGCAGGGAAACCAATTAAGAGGTGACAATGGCTCCCCTAAGGGTGATACCTTATATCAGAAAAGGAATCTATCCATCGAAAATTCTTTCAGGTTTTTTTTTTTTTGTTTACTACATCTTAATCCTCTTAAGAACCAGTGACGTTGTAATTATTATCTGCAATTAACAGATGCAAAAATTGAAGCTCAGAAAGGCTAAGCAATTTAAGTTCCCACTATATACTATGATTCTAAGACTTGTGGCTTAGTTGTTTCCTTCTTTCTAGTCCTTTTTATTCTCTCTCATGTCATTCTATTCACTTCTTTCTTGGCATTTGTCACAATCTGTAGGTTGTCTGCTAATCCTTTTTCTTGCTTATTGTCTATATGTCCCACTTGACTTCAGGGAAGGAACCCTGTCCTGGCAGCAGCTCCTTGTTGTATCCTCAGAGCTTCTTAACAGTGCTTTTGGTACATTAATAGGTGCTCAAGAAATATTCAGAGTGAAGAACTAAGTTAGAAAGCAAAGATAAAATATTGTTATAATCGACATAATTTTTTTCCTTTTTATTTTATTTTTATTTGTTTAGAGACGGTGTCTCGCTCTGTCACCCAGGCTGTAGTGCAATGACACAATCTCGGGTCACTGCAACCTACACCTTCCAGGTTCAAGCAATTCTCCTACCTCATCCACCCTAGCTGGGCTTAAGGCGCCCACCACCACGCTTAGCTAATTTTTGTATTTTTAGTAGAGATGGGCCTTCAC